TCCTCTTCTTCCTCTTCCTCTTTTTCTTCTCCTTCCTCTTCTTCCTCTTCCTCTTTTTCTTCTCCTTCCTCTTCTTCCTCTTCCTCTTTTTCTTCTCCTTCCTCTTCCTCTTTTTCTTCTCCTTCCTCTTCTTCCTCTTCCTCTTTTTCTTCTCCTTCCTCTTCCTCTTCTTCTTGCTCTTCTTCCTCTTCCTCTTTTTGTTCTTCCTCCTCTTCTTCAGGTGTGTTTGAACTTTGAGTGCCGCAGCGCTGATGTCCTCAACTTCGACTGTGACGTGGACAACAAATGTCATGGACAAGGGGTGAGACACATTTGGCCCTGGACCTCATGGTCAGCTGTTCGACTCCATCACTCACTCTCTCTCTTTCTGACTGTATTTCTCCCCCTTCACCACTAGGTGTGCATCAGCAACAAGAACTGTCACTGTTGTGAAATTGTCAAAATCTCACTAATGAATGAGGAGAAAGATGACTGTGTGCACGTTTCCGTAGTCTTATCTCCAGAATGCCCTCATAATTTACTAGGGAGAGACCTTTTAACATGTATTGAAATGGCAGTTGTTCCAACTGCAGCAGGGGTAATGGTAGTAAAGAGAACACCATTAAGCCTAGTAGAAACCTTTGTAGTAGAGGGAAAACACGGACCTCACTACTATTGGTCATTAGACATTCCTAATGGCCCGCCAGGAGATGTCCCTAAGACCTTAATGACAAAAGCCCAAGAAATAGTGGAACAGGGAGGTGACAGAATGAATCCAGAAAATTTACATACCACTCTAAGATTTAAAACCATGGTTACCTAAATCATTATTCAAATGAGCTGCAGTTATGACACATGGGCCGTGCAATGTGTCAACAGGAAGGATGGTATCATTAGTAGATAAGCAAACCACACCAACCTGAGTCGTGCTGCACAGACTAGAGCTCATCAATGTGCTGATTTGAGGTCCGTATTTTGCAGTCTGTCAGGATCCTAGGTTTGAATAAAGTAGGCCATTTTGTCAAAAATCTGCCCGACACGTCCTTTCCTACAAACACTGCAGCTTAACACCTCCCTCTGTCTCTGGATAAAAGACTTTCTTTCAAACAGACCACAACGGGTCAGAATGGGCGCCACCACATCCTCCAACATCATCCTCAACACTGGGGTCCCCCAGGGCTGTGTCCTCAGTCCAGTCTTGTACACACTCTATACACACGACTGCATTGCCACCCACGCATCCAACAGTCTCATCAAATTTGCTGACGACACAACAATTGTTGGACTGATCAGCAACAATAATGAAACCCCATACAGGAAAGAGGTCCAAGCACTGGCGGCTTGGTGCAGCGACAACCACCTCAACCTCAACACCAAAAAGACAAAAGAAATAATAATTGATTTCAGGAAAACAGGATCTACACCACACTCAGGCCTTAGCATTAACGGAGAGGAAGTGGAGCAGGTCAGAAACTTCAAGTTCCTTGGCCTACACATTTCAGAGGACCTAAGCTGGACTGTTAATACAAAAAACATAATAAAAAAGGCCCAACAACGTCTTTTCTTCCTCAGAACTCTGAGGAAAAACAAACTCCCACGCCCCCTACTCAAAAACTTCTACCACTGCACAATAGAGAGTGTCCTGACCTACGGATGCACAGTGTGGCATGCCAGCTGCACTATGCAGGAGAAAAAACAACTGCAACGGGTCATCAAGACGGCCCAGTGGATCATCGGATCCCCGCTCCCATGCCTGGAAGACATCCACTCAGATCGTCTCCTCCGAAGGGCCAGGAAGATCCGGGATGACCCTGCGCACCCAGGACACACTCTATTTACCACCCTTCCATCAGGCAGACTTAGGGTTCTAAAAACCCGTACCAACCGGATGAAGAACAGTTTCTTCCCCACGGCGGTAAAGAGGCTTCTGCAGGACCCATAGCGCCATCTCATTCCACAACTGCACACACACACCATCTACTACCTCCTATCCAAAGGGACAGTTGCAATAACCTGATGCACAGATCACTTTTATAAATTAATATTTTACTTGAATACTGTCATAACTACTGTTTCACTTTTTATATTCTGTCTTATATGCTATTTATTAGCTATTTATATTTATTTATACAGATTTTTTTTTTAATTCTTATGTCAAGCTGCTACTACGGTGAGAGATGCCAAACGAAATTTCGTTGTATTATGTACAATGACAATAAAGCTTCTTCTTCTATATCATTGTGTTATGTCGCCCTCTGGTGGTTCGCTTTTTACATGATTGCTCCGCGAGTTTAGGCCGGTTAGCCTGTTGCTAACTTAGCATTCCAGCTAAAATACGTAACAGCGGCCATACGAAAGTTAAACCGAAGGACTAAAGGTAATATAGTAACAGTAACAACAACAACAATAATAATATTAATATTAAGTTGTATTATTATAAAATAATAATTGTAATAATAATTATTATTATATCTTGAAAAAAAAGGGACAAAGCCGAAAGGAAAAGAAGAAGCTATCTTGCTATCATTAATACGTACGCAGATATACACAGTAGTATTTGTTCCGTGTGTTTTGTACAGTATTGTTGGTCAGAAACTTTTCTTTTACTCCAAAATTTCTGTAAATCATATCCAACATCTGTCACTGCTGAGGCTGGAACTTTTTTTTTATTACATTCTGTCTTCAGAGCTGATGGAGTATCTTCAGCCAACTCCAACACCAGGGGGCCCCCTCCTCGGTCACAGCCTCCGCCTGTTCCCCGAGCTGGCAACATCGTCAGAGATGGGGTAGGACATTATACCAGATGAACCACTCGTCGAAGCTACTAGTAATGATAAAAAAACAACAACAACTAACCTGTAGAGAAGTTAACACACAGATCGGCTGGTTAGTTCTCCCTTGTCCAGGAGACGGGGTTCCCAACATTGGTCTGTGCCACGGACTGGGTTCATGTGAGACGGAGTGATCGTCAAGGTGCAGCAAAAATACAAGTAGTACTGAAAACTAGTAGTGAAAATAAAACTAGTACTGTTAATTAAGCTAGTACTGAAAATGCAACTAGTACTGAAAATTAAACTAGTACTAAAAATTAAACTAGTACTGTCAATTTAACTAGTACTGAAAATGCAACTAATACTGTCAATTAAACTAGTACTGAAAATGAAACTAGTACTGTGTTGGTGCCGAAAATTACGTTATTCAGTCACCACTGTTGTCATCTAACTGCCGCAGATAGAATGACCGGAAAAGAACCACACCTGACAACGTTGTACTTTTTACTCGCTGCGAAGGGGAGCAGAGAAACCAACAGCTTCGCAGAGCTGGCTCACCTAAGTCCCAAAGTGTATGAGGACTGCAGCTCCTTTTATTGAGAAAGTTTCACAAGTACTGGGCAGTTGTTTTTTTCTTTAAGTTTTACTCCCAGGGCAAAGTTCATCTGATTCCCATACTTGATGAGAAACAGACCTCATCCTTTATGGACCTACGTTGTAAAAAACCTTTTAAGAGTACCTACTCCGGTCAAGCAGACCATTATTTACCACACTTAGATAACAGTTTATGGTTCACCACACTTTGGTTTAACACACTTCGGTAACTAACTATAAATTCTGTTTACATATTGTAAATTAAATTAGTACTGTAAATGTAACTAGTACTGTCAATGAAACTAGTACTGTAAGCTAAACTTACAGGCTGGTTTTCTGTCCTCTCTGTGGGACCATATAAAATGTTGCTGACCTTTTCTCTGTGACCCTGTACCATAAAACCTGAGACCCACTACCGGTCCAGGGGTTGGGAACCTCTAGATTAAAAAGCAGCTGTGTGTAATCATCAAACATTAACATATTAACATTCTCTGCTCTCTCTACCTTTGAAGCACAACGCTCAGCTGCTGCCGCCACACCAGGTAAGATACTTCTACTGCAGTACCCCCCCCACTAGTGGACAGAACTGCTCCGCGACACAGAAAAATAATATTTAGCTTTGGCACATCAGTCCAACTGTGACGTTTGTTTGCTAATTTATTAATATGACGATTCCTGTTTTCTGACACCAGGTGGTGGAGACCAGCAGGACCGCTCCAACCTATGCACTCAGGCCGCCCCCGCCCCCTATGTGAGAAAAAAAAAATCACTCTGCACAACACTCTTCATTTCCACAAAACTGCACTGACATAGATGTCTAGAACTCATTTATTCACTTTATTGATGAAAAATACATAATTCCCCTTCATACCACTAGAGGGAGCTCACGCACCACCCGGGTTGCGCAAACCATAGTTACCATAA